CCCCATTTGGGCAATGTTAACCAATTGAACTAAGGCCTAAAAAAATAAAAAAAGCGTCATACACAGAGGCTTTTACTAGGTATTCATTTGAACTTATAAGAGCCAGCAGAGATCAATAACTAAACAATTAGAAAAAATACAGAAATTCACAAATTTCAAAAGGGCTAAGCATAGGTTCAGCATGATGGCGATCAAATAATGATGTCGTACAGAGTTTGAGAGACTGGATAGAAAAATCGAGTCCAATTACAGACAATAACGACAACTAAAAAGTAATGAGAGGTAAATCGGAAATCAACCATGAGGATCAAGGCGTCGAAAGGGCTACCGGTCGAGTAAAAGTATCAAGAAAAATTTAATAAAAATCTAAATAAGAAAAAGCTTTTTTTAGTGCACGCTTTCATAAGTTTATGGCGTAAAAATGACGAATGTCTGTCCTTTGAAATCATCCGTTAGTATTCTGAATACACATTTGCGAACCACTGCAGAGGCATTTTATGAAAAATATTGATCATTACGTGGGCTGCCAGCTTCCATAACAGGTTACGCTTTTTTGAGCTTGGCATTTTTTCACAACTTTTTCATCAACATAAACTAGGTGTAATTAACGCCGATCAATCGTTCGAGAAACCGCCATGCTTTCCTTTCTTAAATGGTTTTGCAGGAGCTTTGAAAATGTTTTGTATTAACGATATTAGAGTGAATGTTTTTTCATTGTCGCATACAAGTATGTTACCAATAGAGATGAAAAGCAAGCGTATTCAGGGTGCGATCTGTTTCAGTCATGATACTCCTTTTGGATTTTATACGGTTGTTCTTATTGAATCTTCCGATCAGTTAATAGTCATATTTTTAGAAGCTTCTTAGGAGCCTGTCTTGGACATAAAACAGCTTCAAATTCAAACTCTCCATCTCTTAGCTGACCTCACAAGGTGAAAAAAAAAGCAGAATCATAGGTTGAAGAAGAAGTTTGGTGGAATATCTGAGCTTCGATACAAAACAAAAGAACAATAGCATGAAATTACCTAGCCAATGAATGAATCATCATTATTACAGGGGATACAGCCGGCCCACAGTGATAGAAAAAAGTCCGTTATCTCACGTTGTTTTGCACTTTAGGCCATTTAGTATCAACTTCAATTATTTGCTACCCGTCCGCAATCAGAAAAACCATGCGGGCTTTCAGCGCTATCTTCAGTTTTGTATTCAAAAAAAAACTCAAAACGTCTTTCATAAATCATCAGTCAGTTCTATCAGTCGAAAAGAATCATGAAATGTGTCACAGTTTGAAATGATTTCAAATG